ACAAATTACATATTTAACGTAATCCAGTTTCCTTCCATCTACTAGCATATAGATACATGTACCAGTGCACATTTGCATATTATGAAATTAGAAATGATTTATGGTGTTTTGCACCAGGTTCTTCCCGGATGATCGGATCTGGTTTAATAATCCTTTTTTTAATGAAAATGTGTATTTTGCATAAAAATAGCATTTTCAAATAAAGAAATAACTATCAAAAATAAATAGTTTTTTTAGTTAAAATACAGTGTTTAACATCGGAATAATTTTTAAGTTTATTAGATTTTTATCAAATATGTCAAAAACACACACACACACATAAAATATCGCCAACCCAGTCTACCCATTTTACCAACATGGAAATCAACAATCGCCAAAAAAAAAAAAAAAAAAAAAAAATCTAAAATACTAAGTACTTATAGCACAATAGATAAAATATTAAATCAGAAAATTGAAACTGCCTACCAATTTTACTTGAAACCAAAAATCGTCAAGAAAATCTAAAATACCAAGTATTTAAATACAATTTTTACAGCGAAAACACATTAGCCTAAAACAAGAGTCTGAAAATTTTATGAAAAAACTCGAATAGTCCCAGCTTTTAATTTGCCACGGCCCGGATTTCCTATTTTCAAACACTCTTTAAACTGGAACTCCGCGCATTTTTTAAAAATGTTTTTGCAAGAGGACCAGTTTAGATGATGATAAAGAAGTTACCACTGCATAACATGAAACGACTAATGCATATAAAGAATTGACCACATCATATAACAAATTAACAACATCATATAATTAATTAACCACCTCATATAAAGATGTTACCACTGCAAAGCATGATTTTAGGAATATATATAATAATTTTACTATATAATATAATGATGTTAGTACTGCACATAATAGATTTTTCACTTCATGTAAAGGTGTCGCACTGAATGAAATTAACTTGGCACTCCACATGCAGTGGGTTTCATACAATGTAATGATTGCTTTATCACACAAATTATTTTTGTACTGTATAAATTGAATTCATCACATCACAGAAAGATTTCAGTAATGTATATAATGGAAAAACCACTGCATATAATGATTTTACAACATAATATATCGATATTATCACTTCATTACATTATTTAACCACTACATATAATGACATTGCCACTGAGTATAATGATAAAACCACTGCATATAATAAAGTTATCAATGAATATAATGATTTTATCACTGTATATAATGATTTTATCACTGTATATAAAGATAAAACCACTGCGTATAATAAAGTTTTCATTGAATATAATGATTTTACCACTATATATAATGACTTAACCACTTCACATAAAGGTTATACCACCTCATATAAAATGAAAATGACCTTCAGGCAGCTATGGCGTTCCATAATTTTTTCTACATTTTCATGGAGTTTTTATGAAATCACCACACGTTGCTCAAAAGTTAAGACTACATGTACTACATGTACTTTGTTACATACATATACCAAAAGTGAGATATGCGTTTCAATATTAAAATTTAAGTTGCACAATTAATATTTGCTCGATTTTCTTTACTGTTGACGTCCAAAAAGTTTTCGGTCAAATTCCACAACCCAGATGATCGCAACATTGCTTCAAAAAAAATTTATGAATTGCTAGTAATATAATCTTTAATCAAAAGGTATTGTTGGTGTGTCAAATAGCTATAAATCGATTAGCGTACATGTGTCTTTCGTTCCAGAACCAGCAGGGAAGGATCTCTGTATGAAAAGGTCACGCATGCACATCCTTGATTATTACCAAAAGTACACACAGTAGGTGGTGGTGGAGAAGAGTTTGATTTGTTGTTAACTCTCCTGTATTATATCACATGTTTTTATTTATTTTTATTTAGGCCTATATGTCATTGTTTTAAACTTTCAAGAGAAATTGCGATATAGAGGAATGACATACTTTAAAAAATCCAACTATTAAACACACAACTTGTAATATGCATCCCCCTTTTTTACGTTATCTATAAAAGTATTCTGCGAAGAATGTTTTTTATTCGGGGTTGTTCATATACTACAAGTTTAAGATTGTGTGCCTGTCAATTTATCTACATGTATAATATACGTTGTACATATATTCTTGAGAGTTTAGCGGAATTTTAAAAGAATCTTTTTTTAAAAAGATTACCAACACGTTACTCCTTCTTTTGTAAAAATTTTATAGTATGTTTCAAGCATCCAAACCACATTGAACTGTTCTCTAATGAATATTAATGAAATGTGCGCAATGAGGATGCGTAGCATATTATGTCGATGTTGTATTCTCACTCGTGCAGTTTTCGTTTTTACGTTTGTGTAATTTCCTCACTATATCGTGTAAATATTTTGTTGATTGTGCAGTTTTTCTATAGTTTGTGTAAATTTCAATAGCTTCGTGTATATTTTCCTCACTTTGTGTAAGTTTTTACTTACTCGTGTATACGTAATCTTGTTTTAGGTCGTGCAGAAAATAATTTTGAAGCAATCGGCGTGCCATAGACTTCCTCCCAAGGAAAATTTTCATACTAGAACCAAATCCCCCTCCCCGTCTTCCTTTCTCAACGTAAGATATTTCCCCTCTTTTATCAATGCTAAATCATATCGACAATATTTTAGCTAAAAGTTTATATGAAAGTCATCTGATTTTTTTAAAAAGGAAATAGGAGTGTTTTCTACTCAAGAATTGTTCAAATTCAGCATGAAGCTTGAAAATATAAAGTTTAAAATCTCAAACCAAAATTTTAACTCATGGGAAATTGTAAATTTAGTCACTCCAAAAATCGGAAGACTCGATGTCTCAACACCTCTCTCATCGTCTCAAGCCACGGTCCGGAGATCGCATATAGCTTTCTCCATAATGTGAGAGGATCGTACATTTTGGCCGTGTTTTGCGACGATGCACCTCTATTGGCGTACCGGTTCCTGTTTGTCCGTTAATATAATTTGTTTTCACTCTAAAGGCCCAGTAGTTTATCTATGAATCTGCTTTTTACAAAGAGTGTGTGAGAATTCTAGAATTTATATTATTGATATTGAGTATTTCAATAGAGTACTACTTCAAAAGAAAAAAAAAATAAAACCAACAACAAAACAAGAAGCACTGTTCTTATGTATGTCCCCCGCGACTACAGGGGAGTTCATTATCGCATTTAAAAGCACGAAGCAAATACTTAAAATTTGCAAAATTCCGTGAATTTTTTTTTAAAGAAATTCACCCATTTTAGTTCCATGGAAACGGCAGCTGTTTTGGATACTCAAACGCTAGAAACTTGGAGAGACACTTACACATTAATATTTTGTACATGCAGTTTGAAATGCAATTGGAGAAAAAACCCATTTCAAAGAAAATACCACCTTTATGTTTCCATGGCTACTATTAGAAATTTGTCCAAACGATTACATTACATCGTTTAAAAACCAGATTAAACGAATAAGATTTGATGCTTTAAAAATGGTTATTTTAAAAAATGAGATCTAAAATTGTCAATTTTCTCGCATATTTCGTATGTTTCAAAGGAACTGGTCGCCATTTTAAAAATTTTAAACTAAGCTTTTTGATTTTTTTTTTTTTTGTAAACTTTCATTAAGATTGTCTATTGTGAGAGCACCTGTGGGGAAAATTATAGAAGGGACTTTTCTATCAATGTGTCCCCAATATATAAGTACAGGCACATATTTCTTTTAGGGGGAAAAGTCTGGAGGAAATCGTATATCATATAGAAGTATAGGCATTATATTTTATTGAGGGGAAATTGGCTGTGGGGGAAATCTCTGTAGCTATTACACAGGGTAGGGTTCCCCCTGGAAACTAAATTTCTGTCGGGGATATCCAATCTAGAGTAATTTTTCTGTGGGGGAAATCCTACTCTAGGGCTTATTTTCCGATGGGAATCCTACTATTGAGCCAGTTTCAGAAGGGGGTTCAAGAAGGGAAAGCTTACTCTACAAGACCGGTACACTGAACAAGAGTATTATCTAATAGTGATTTTTATCCAACCACAAGCATTTTTTTTTTCTGTAGTTTTAAGTTAATAATATAGTATCGTAAATTTAAAAAAAACCCATAAAAGACACTTATTTTAAATTTTCAGTATCTAGTGACATGGCCTTTCATGGCCTACAATCACAGCATGAGATATGAATTTCTGAAGTTCCGCATTTACAATATCTATGTCGTCTTTGGAAAAGAAATCTTCCAACAATCTGTTGGAATTCCTCACTGTGTTCATTTTTAGCCAATTAATCTGTTTCTGTATTCCTATGAAGCAGAATTTATTTAAAAGCTACATGAAGAAACTGTATGAAGAAAATAAAGTCCTCTTGCTGTGGCCTTCAATTCGACATTAAGATAATTACTGTAAAGACTTTTTTGAAACAAATATTCCCAATGAAAAGCTACAAGTATATTAGAGGACATAGAATATATTACTTTTATATCCTTTAATTCTTTCTATCAACAAACTATCAATCACACCTACGTGTAAAATGCTAAAGCGTAATTTTGAATTTTCTATTCAAAAATGAAATATTGATTACATTAATGCAATCAACGGACGTCAGATCTTATTCCCTCATAGCTTTAATTAGTTCAAATGCATTTGATTTATTGCAGATTTGTTGAAATTAATACAATCAATTAACAAAATAATTCATCAAACATTTTTGCAAGCTTGCATGCATTTATTTCAAGAGCATTCTATATAAAAACTTATGTTACCTATCAATATGTTCTAATTAATTCTCCAACTTTTAAGGCCTGTCGTCTTCATCTATTACATGTGACAGCATACGTGGTAACGTTTCCTTTTTTTTGTTATTTCTAAATACATACATCAGAATCAAATATAGCATGAATGTTTTCTGCTCACTTAATTGAAATTTCATAATATTATTATTGTCAATAACTTTTATGTAAAAATATTGAGTGAAGACATTTTTTTCAGCGGATATCTCCATCCCAACTACGTTTTATCTACAAATGTAGGTCATGGAGGCCTATTTTCCAGTAATGGTTGCCTTATTGGTGACATTAGGGGCTGTCTCAGAAGTAGAGGGCATACATGCTTATGATACTCTCCTCTCTACTTCTGATATGATAAAGAAATGTATAGACAAAGCTGTGAGAGATGTCAAAAAACAGAAAGCACTTGAGAAAAAATTTTACCTACAAGGTAAGTCTTTAACTTCTTAATTTGAAATTTGAAGAATTTTTTTCTAAGGGCTAGATAAATATATTTTACCTTCTCTGAAAATTATCACATGGTAACGAGTTGCAATGTGTAATGTTTGTGGTTCATGCGAGCCACTCAGGTGACTTATTGGTATCCACTGTCGTCGTTAACTTTCTTGATGCATAACGTCTTGTGTCTTACTTTGTACATACTGCGTTTTCTTGATAAGTGGGTTTTAAAAATGCGTGAGAGTATTTTTGAATAAGGATTCAAAATTGCTCACATGAAGGGCCAACACCCATTCCAACAATTATAAAGGTAAATCAAAAAAATGAAAACAATCTGCGGGATGTATTTAGAAACTCAGTTATAATGACGCTAATTATGCAGAAGCTTCTTTGACCAGTGAAGGATCAGATTAGATTAAGGACAGGGTTATACCACAGTCAGGTGTCAAAGTTTCAGAGACAAATTTAATTTATAGAATTCTCCACAGAAGCAATAGGACTATAACTTGGCGAACCAATATGCTAGCATATTAATGTACTCTAGATATTAAGGAGAAAATATCCTTTCAAAGTCAGCAAAGACTCAAGAAGTCAAATTAATATGCAAGCATTCTCATATAAATTTCGTGCAAGGTATTTTTCAAAATCATTGTTCTTTGACCATACTGTATCTAACTACAAGGATAAATAACACAAACAAACTTTTTTCCCAGAAATCACCAATATTTCTCGTGGATTTGTATTCAGATAGGTAAACTGAATAATGTTTACAAAGTAAAGTGGGAGAGTTAAGTGTAAGATTTTGTCACAATGTTAATAATATGTGCAAAATATTGTATAGAATTACATAGAAAACGACACAAAGTTGCATATTTAAGCACCATAGAAAGCTTACAATTTCTTTATTTTTTAGGGATTTATTATTTAGGTCATTTACATTCAAAATCATCAAAAAATTTATATCAATCCATGCATATGACATGTAAAACGTTGAAATATTCGATCTTTTCCATTTGTATTGTATAATGATAATTTTGCATTTGTTTTGTATAATTTTTATTCATATTCTATAATTTTCCAATTGTATTGTATAATTTTTTCATATGTATTGTATAATTTTGCATTTGTATTATATATTTTTAATTTGGATTGAATGTATAACTTTCCATTTGTATTCTATAATTTTCCATTTGGATTGTATAACATTAATTTGTATTCTATATTTTCCATTTGTATTGTAAAAAATTAATTTGTTTTGTATAATTTTTTTATTTGTATTCTATATTTACTAATTGCATTGCATAATTTCTTATTCGTATTGTATAATTTCTTATTTGTATGCGATAATTCTTCATTTGTATTGTATCAGAGGGATTGTTTTATTTTTTACGCTACGAAGGTTGGTCATTGGTCAAGTTTTAGTCTTTTTTGTAGTATAGTGTTCAAGAAGCGAAATGTTTCTGGTGACCTGGGCTTCTTTTTTGCGAGAATGCTAAAGGACGGTCATTTAATTTTCAGGGGGGGGGGCAAATTTCATCGAATCAGATTATTTATTTTTATGCTCTTGCAGGAGAAAAAATTTATGTCCAAGATGACCAGAGACAAGGAAAATAAGATGAAAAAGAAAATCTGACCAAACCCGAAAACTCCGTTTCTTAGGACCGGGGTTGGGGTGGGGGACCAGTCACGACCAAATTATTTATTTTCTCAGACAGCATTTTCTATTTTCTAGGACAGATTATTTATTTGCCATCTGCAAGCGCTCCCTTTTCATCGAAATGACCTTTCTCTAACATGCACGCAAATACATATAGGAGCCCAGTTTGCTTTAAGCACCCGGAACATCTCGCTCGATCATTTTCAACACGATACAGGCTAAAAATTGACAATGAAATCCTTCGTAAATAAATAAGCAATCTTTAGATACATTATAAATGAAAAATTATCGAATACAAATAAGAAATTTTACAATACAAATAAGAAATTATAAATGCAAATAGAAAATGTAGAATACAATGAAAAATTATACAATTCAAATGATTTTTTTTACAATACAAATGATAAATTATAGAATACACATAAAAATTATGCAATGCAATTCAAAAAATTATACAGTACTAATGGAAAATTATAGAATACAAATAAAAATTATACAATACAAATTGAAATTAATACAATACAAATGGAAAATTATAGAAAACAAATAAAAAATTATATAATACAAATTGAAAAGTATGCAATAAAATTGAAAATTCATACAATGCAAATGAAAAAGATCGAATATTGCAACGTTTGACATGTCATACATTCATCAAATTTTGTTTGTGTTATGTATCCTTAACTACACTAGTCTGTCCCAGAGAAATTTGATACGCAGGTGTCCAGTAGCGCCCAAAAGCCACAAAGTTCATCACTTTTAATTCACGAGCAGTTTTACATCTACGTGTGTTATACTTGTGATTAGACCTTAATATACATGTAATTATTTCATTTATAGTTGCAAAATCTGTGATCGATAATTTTTTTAAGGTTGTTGTGGTTCCTTGGTTCCTTAATGGCATTGAACGGTCATATTTTTTTTAATTGATATATATATATATATATATATATATATATATATATATATATATATATATATATATATATATATATATATATATATATATATATATATATATATATATATATATATATACCAAGAGAACAAATGATCATTTACTAAGTAACTACCCTTGACAGGCAACGATTGTTTTCCTGAGAATGGGGCTTTCAGTTGGCATCATTCCAAATTTATGGGAATCGAGGATCCAGACAAAATACAACTGCTGAACAAAAAAGCCTCTATTGTCCTGAGAGCCATCAAATATTTTGAACAAATGTACGTACGTATTTATTATGTCCACTTATCTTTAACACATTACTTGTTTTTTTTTTTTTTTAAATAAAGAATGATCGAAAACTTGAAAATTCCTAAAAAATTAAATTGGAGATTGTTTTTATGTCTTTTTTTATACAGAAATTTCAGCAAATTCGCACGACGTTGCACTCGTCGCCCGCGCGGCGCAGTGGTTAGAGCGTTTGCTCTAGAGGCGCAGAGTAAAGAGTTGATCCTTACGTCGCGGGTTCGAATCCCACTGTGGGACGTGTAGACCAGTCCTTCGGATGAGACCGTATAAACCGAGGCCCCGTGTCGCAGTAGGTGTTGGCACGAAAAAGATCCCTCGCTGCTCAATGGCCTTTAGTGCCGAGTATAAGTCAAAATTTGCAGCTTTGCAAATATGCATATGAGTGAAAAGTTCTCGAGAGAGATGTGTAAACAATAAACAAAAACAAACGACGTTGCACTCAGGTTAAATTCTTTTATCTGGCAGGTCTGGAATCTCGCTCAAGGAGCTAAAAGGAGACAACGGACTCAAAAAGATTTGGCGAAAAGCTATATCCCCACATTGTAATTGTCCAAAACCAAAGTGTAATCGCCGTGCTCACTATCGGACAGCGGATGGCACTTGCAATAACGTGAAAAATCCCAAATGGGGATCCTCCTTTATCCCTCAGTTAAGATACCTCCCACCTGCCTATCATGACGGTTTGTATTGTTCCTCTGGCGATAATTTCTTGGCAATCTGAACTATTTCGTGAATTTTGTAGTCTCGCTTTCCCCAGACTCTCGCTCTAGAGACTATGCAAAGTCTCGAGAGCGAGAGTCTTGGGAAAGTGAGACTATGATTTTTGGTATTGCTACTCAAACATGTATAATTGTGGTTAACAAAGAACTTTTTCTTGTTCAAGATATCTGTCAATCATCATTTGAAAATTTCATATTTTTCCATCTTAACTAACCTTAAAAACAGAAAAGCAATACAACAATAGTTTTGTTACATAAGAAAGTAATGTTAGATATAGTTTTTTCTTCAGAACTGCACTTTTATAAAAAAATCAAAATTCTATTAACAGATTAAAGAGGGATCATTTATTTTACAGGTATTAACAGGCCTCGTCTAAAAAGTGTCACAGGGGACTTGTTACCGAGTGCACGCCATATAAGTAACGCCATTCACAGCGCGGAAAAATGCCAGTCATCTGACCGATTTCTTACCATGATGTTCATGTCATGGGGACAGTTTTTGGATCATGACTTTATCGGAACACCCATGACTAAAGGTTGATTAACTACTGCATTTTCACAATCTTAATCTATTTTAACAATTGGTTTAGTCTTGGCGATTCGATAAATTATATAATTGGCATAATATCTTTTGCAGAGAAAAGGTGTACATGTCGACGACATTCTCTCAAGTTCAAAATATCTTAGTTAATTAATTCGATGCACTGTTTAAATGTGTATGGCATTTGTGTCTAAGATAAGAACCTTTTTAATGAGTTAAATATACATGTATCTAAAATTGCGACATTGATTAACTGATATTCTATTTTATGAACTTAAAGGAAATAACTGCTAGTTTTGGCGTTTATGATCTTATTAATATTGAAATGTATTGCAGGATTCAATGATTCCACTATTTTGTGTTGCAAGTTAAGTCCAACTACATTAGTCCAGAGGTAAAAAAAAATAATTTCCAAAAAAGACATCTTCAAATAAAAAAGGTTTTTTCAATTTTAAAAAATCAGTACTATTTCTACAATGAAAAAAAAATATTGTTTGAATTCACACTTCTTTTTCAATATTGAAGGGAGTCTTGTTTTCCAATAAAAATCCCCAGTGATGACCCATATTTTAAATACCAGTGCATGGAGTTTGTTCGGTCATCAGCGGCTCCAATTGATAACTGCGTGCCAGGTGAATACTAGACTTAGTACATGTATTTTATATATGTATTTAAACAATAAAATGCTTTCTTCGGTTGTTAGTACGGGAATTAATGTCAGAGCTGTTGCAGAAAAAATACATAACCCGAGTTAATTCCCGTACTAACAATGAAAGAAAGACATTTTATTGTTTATATTTATATCTTTATTAAAAAGAAAATCAAAGCAAATTCAATATGTTAAATATTGTATTATAGATGTGTATGTCATTATATGCATAATTGATGGAACAGTCGTTGCTTAAGAAATCTATGCAGGTGACTTGCTCAGTGTTGTTTATGGACTGATTAATTGCAATGGTTTTTATAAGACATAAAGGAAATAATATTCAGTGGATGTAAATATATTATTTTTAAGCGGAGGGACGGTCACAAAATATGTTTTAAAAATTCACAATGATGTCCTGAATTATATTACTTTTGTTTAATACCTTGCATGATCACAAAGAACCGTTCTGAATAGGTTTGTGCAATACTTGTATTGATAACTGAACTTAATTCTGTAAGAAATAATCTCTTTAACTTCTGAAAGATATGAAAAAATACGTGAGAATACAAAGAATTTTTGTCTAGTCGAAAAATATTTTCATTATTTAATTCTTTTGCACTAGAAGTATATATACGTATGTTCTCTTCTGTTTGCAGAGTGGCGAAACCAGATTAATCAGCACACATCCTTTATAGATGGTTCTATGGTGTATGGCGCTACGGCCAAGGACGCCAGATCTATGCGTGCTGGTTATGACGGTATTTGAAATCTTTTCTATGTATCTTTTACAAATATATTCTTCAATAAATCGAGATATATTTTAAATTTATAAAGACAGTTAGTGCTTTAAGTATGTGAAAGGTGAAGATAATGAATTGTATGCATGATATTAAGAATCTCCAAAGACTAATTAAAAACACAAGACGAGAACAATATGTTCTTAAATACATATTTAGATCATCTGATGAATAAAGACATACTTATAAAAACTCGCATCCACCTTTATGAAAGAAAAATATCTATGTAAAATTTTCATTTTTTTTTACTTTCCTGTGCAATTTTTGTCTATAAAATTTAGAAAACATTTCTCTAATCTCCATCCCCCCTTTGTGTTCCCTAAAAATAGGTCTTCTAAAGGTTACAGAAGATGAAATGTTACCAGAGGCAAAGAAGAGTGATTGCATAATACAGAAAAGGTCTGATTACTGCTTCCAGGCAGGTTCGTCAAGTATTGTTCTTTACTAAATTTAGATTTTGATATTCTAAATTTGAACACGACATGTATAAATTTTGAATAACAAAATTTTAAATTTACGGACAATATTCTTTTTCTATATATTTGGAAATAATGATAAATGAATCATGGAATAGGTGAAAGCTTATTTTTAACATCGAGACATCAATTCAAAATTTGCAGATACAGCACTTAAGTTAAAAGAATCAATGATGTGAACAACTATCAAATTTCATTGCTATGCAAATTAGCAAAGAATGAGGAAAAGTCATACCCATAATCGCGCCAGTATATATGTAATATTGTTGAAATTGTCATAAAGTGAAATATCGTAGAGGTGAAGTTTTTAGTGAGAGGGAAATTAAGTAATTTGTCTTTAAATAGTTTTAGCAAGAAGTATTTTTAACGAGTTTAGGATACCAGGAAAAATAAAGCTTACTTGCAATGTGGAATAAATTTTTAGCATGAAATATGGAGATAACGAACAGTATTCGAGCTCAAAAGTCCATTCAAACAATACAAATCAGGAGCAGAGCAACACGGACCTCTAGAACATTAGAGGTGGGATCAGGTGCCATGGAGGAGTGAGCATCCCCTGCCGACCGGTCACATCCGCCGTGTGCTCCTTGTCATGATCGGGAAATAACGGAAAAATCCGTCGACAATTCAGTGTGTAAATATTGGCAATTTTCAATTTTAATAATGTTATCATTCTTGCTAAAAATGCCAAAATTGAATCCTCGATAAAAAATTCTTTTTTATCCGATATTCTCGAAAGGCGTTTACTTAAGAGAAATCGTGTTATACATAAGCAAATATTTCTAGAAAAAATTTTCCTTATATTGTGTTTTTATATGCAAAAAATGAAAAAAAAATGAATATGCAAATTTTTCAGGAGATAAGAGAAGTATGGTTGTGCCATCTTTGACATACCTACATTTATTATTCGTCCGTGAACATAACCGAATAACAAGTGAACTCTCAGCAATAAATCCACATTGGAGCGATGAAACTTTGTATCAACAGACAAGAAAGATAGTAATCGCCATGATACAACATATCACGTATAAAGAATATTTAACCTTTCTACTTCCCAAAGACATTCGTTCCAAATACGGTCTTACACCAAATATAGAGGGCCACAGTACAGTATATAACCCCAAAGTTAATCCATCGATTTCAAATGTATTTGGAGTAGCAGCCTTCCGATTTGGACACTCACAAATCCCAAACCATCAGGTACTATTTTCAGCAACACACACACCCATTCAAGTTAAACCTATTGAGAAAACTTTCAATCGACCTTCCATGACATTAAGCCATAATAGACATGGGAGAGGATATGACGGAATTGGACGATGGTTGGTCAGTGATTTAATGTCTGCAGACGACAAGTGTTTAGAAGATGGTGTAAGAAACAAGTTGTTTTTAGATAAAGAATATAAAAGTTTTGACTTGGCAGCATTGAATATTCAAAGAGGACGGGACCACGGCATTCCTGGTTATAATGACTGGAGAAAATTTTGTGGTTTGAAACCTGTCGTTCATTTTGGACCTGGTCCAGGTGGTATGGTTGACCATGATCAGGGAGACGCTGCAATATTTCACTCGCTGTACAGGTATAAAGTAAATATAGAGCTATTGCCAGGTATAACATGATGGACTTCTTTTTAACAATTTGTGTTGAATTGTTCTAGCAAATAATTCACATCCACAATTAAAATATCTCTAAGAAAAGCAAAGGGTTCCTTTACAGCTGTCCTCTCATACACTTTCTGTTTTACTATAACATTATTATATCAATTTTCTCTGAGTTGAAAACTGATACCAACCTCTTCCCAACATTTTTTTTCAATAGACATCCAGATGACATGGATTTATATCCTGCAGCTTTGTCAGAGCGCCATTTAACGGGAGGACTTCTCGGGCCAACGTTTTCCTGTATAGTAGCAAAACAGTTTAATCACTTAAAAACCGGTGATAGGTTCTGGTATGAAAACGAATTCTTATCAATAGGATTCAACAGAGGTATGTTTTCTCAGTTCTGCCACGTCTGTTTCATATTTTGATGTTATTTTTACATAATAAAGGAGGTAATAGCAAACTAACAACTAAAAAAAATCTGTCAAGATGAGTTCAGTTTTGTCATCGTCAACCTCTCATTGATGTTGGAATATTCCATTATCACCTACATATAATGTTTTTGTTTCCAAATGGCTTCCGTATGTACATTTATCTCTGTGTAGATTAATGTTTAAACCGAAGCGGGCAACTGACAAATAAATTGGTATTACAAGGGTTTCAACAGTTTCATTTAAAGTCATCATTTTGCTTATTCTAAAGTCTTTTGAATACTGCCTATCAATGAGTGGAAGTTTGACTGGGCAATCAGAAGTTAGAAGCTTACTCACTTTTCATTATTCACTATTTGAATAGGGAACCGTAATCTGTGTAGGGTTCACGATTCAAATTACCGTAAGTGTCCTAATAAATATTTTTCAAGAAACTAGATAGACTCGATAAAATACCATAATCGTGAAACCACCACAGAATATACGGTTCGCTTTTCGAATAGTTAATAATGAATAGTGAATAAGTTTCGAACTTCCGATTGCCGTTTGACTGATATGTTTTATTCCAATTGTCGGACCATTGTTTTCGAAGTAATGATTACTATATCTATTACTCTGTTTACCGGATCAATTCAGTAGACCCCACACCGTGTTTGACCGTTCGACATGAGGAACTATCTCTTCCTAGGCACATGACTCTAGCTCTTGTTTTTCAGCAGTCCTTGTTTTTGTCCTGTTCTCGATTTGTATTATCTACAGGATTTATGAAAAAAATTAGTTTGATATCTTCACTTTTTAAAATTCTCAGTAAATAAATGAATCATATTTCCTAAACAAAGTTGTTACGCTAAGAACATTGTTCTGAAAGAAAATTATTCTCTCTCTCTCTCTCTGTTATGACATATTGTCAGATTTGAACACTTTGAAGACTGTTTTACAGCTTTTCAAACATTGGATAATAGAATTTGTGTTAAATACACTATGCTTCATGAGTCTTTTTTTTTTATTTTGACAGCCCAATTGAATGAAATAAAGAAGATAAAACTCTCACGAGTTGTATGCGATAATACAAAAATTAAAGAAATCCAGAAATTCGTTTTTTCACCACCCAGCCCACGGTAAGTCAATATTCTGCAATCCCAAATTTTGGACCATTTACCTTGAGCAAAAATTTAATAATATTGAAAGACAATCTAACAATTTCGGGACCTCTCAGCTGGTGCACAAAAGAAACCATATGTCATGTACAGTTAGACAAGCTTATGTCGAAGTGCCAGAGACGAACACTATCTGATTAGTTAATACGATTTAAAACCACAGGGAATGAGAATCACTTCACTGTAAGCATGTATTCATATTTACATTATATATATAAATGGGATATATTCTTGGTACTTAAGCTTTCCACTGCATTCATCTTACTTAAGGGCAAGGTTTAACGATTTTCAAATATCTTAAAGCTTTCAAAAAAAGGGGCCTATTGTAAACTGTCATGTGTCTGAATTTTTTTTTTTATTTGTTTTACTCGAATGTCCTTAAAACCAATTGCTGAAGAATTCTTCAAAAAGAACCACTACTTCATAATACATACCATAGAATTTGCTCTAGATCTATGTACATACATACCAGAGAATACCAGACATACCAGAGAAAAATTTGAAAGTGTCCATATTTTTTTCACGAGTACAGTCAAGTATTTGGAAAAACCCGGAAAAAGTTTGCAAATTATAGTCTTGAAAACAACAGACTTTTGACCTCACATTCCATATGTATATCTTCTTTTATGATAACTTTTGAACCATCTTTTCTTTATTCAGCAATGACGTTTACCCATGTTTGGATCAACGATATTCATTAAACTTGGAACTCTGGCGGGAAATACCGAAAGAACCACGAGGTTACAGTGCTCGACGAAGTTTTCATCATTTCATTAATTTATCCTAGCAATGTATCTCCGATTTCAAAGTTTATAAATTATGTTATTTATATTTATTTATTATCTTAGAATTAAGATAACTTTCTTCGGATTTTCCTTAGAAATATTCATCTTACAACAATTGATTTTTTTTTTCACGTATTTTATGGAGAAGCACAAAATGGAGAGGTATTATAGGCCATAGTTTCAACAATTCTGTTCGTGTATGTATGTTCGTGTATGTATGTTCCTTCATGTTGCTTGAAATTGTTGTAGAATTTCTTAAAATATACTTGAGAAACTGCTGGTGATTGTTGTGTTTTTTCCCCTACAATTGTTAGCTACTAATTTGTAAATAACCATGTGAAGAAAATTTAGTTTATTTTCAATTACTTTGATTTATATTTGTATGATTTCTCTCTCTCTCTCTCTCTCTCTCTCTCTCTCTCTCTCTCTCTCTCTGGCGCTTTAGCAAAACAAACAAATATTAAAGAACATTAAAGAACATTATATTTAAAATAGAGTGTGATTTTGTTCATATGTACATGTTTACTTCTCTTAGCCTTTGCACTGCTTACACAGTCAGATTTGTCGAGAGTTTGGAATTTCTTATCATTTCTTTAGTGAAAAGGATAATTGCTAATTTATTCTTTTTATTCTTTATAAAGGCATAATCAAACTGAAAAATATTTAATTTATTCTGGTACTTTAACTTTTTAGAGGGCATACATTTTTCTGAAATTGGATGGGAGGTTACAATGAAATCATTTTTTTATTCCTTTACCCAAATATATTTCTTCCTTTTTAGCTCACCTGAGCTGAAAACTCAAGTGAGCTTTTCTGATCACATTTTGTCCGTCGTCCGTCTGTCCGTCCGTCCGTCTGTAAACTTTTCACATTTTTGACTTCTTCTCCAAAACCACTGGGCCAATTTCAACCAAACTTGCCATGAAGCATCCTTGGGTAAAGGGTATTCAAGTTTGTTCAAATGGAGGGCCACGCCCTCTTTCAAGGGGAGATAATTAGGAATTAGTGAAAAATCATGGCATCATTTAAAAATCTTCTTCTCAGAACCACTGGGCCAGGAAAGATGAAACTTATGTTGAAACATCCTCAGGTAGTGTAGATTCAAATTTGTTCAAATCATGACCCCCAGGGGTAGGGTGGGGCCACAATGGGGGATCAAAGTTTTACATAGAAATATATAGGAAAATATCTTTAAAAATCTTCTTCTTAAGAACAGCAAAGCCATGATTGGTCATATTTATATGGAAGCATCCTCAGGAAGTGTAGATTCAAGTTTGTTCAAATCCTGACCCCCGGGGGTCGGGTGGGGCCACAATGGGGGATCAAAGTTTTACATAGAAATATATAGGAAAATATCTTTAAAAATCTTCTTCTTAAGAACAGCAAAGCCATGATTGGTCATATTTATATGGAAGCATCCTCAGGTTGTGTAGATTCAAGTTTGTTCAAGTCATGACATCCCCCCCCCCCGGATAGTATGGGGTCACAATGGGGGATCAAAGTTTACAGAGGATTATATAGGAAAAAATCTTTTTCTCAAGAACAGAAAAGCCATGATTAGTCAAATTAATATGGAGGCATCCTTGGGAGTGTAGAATGAAATTTGTTCATTTGTTCAAATGAGGGCCCCAGGAGGTAGGATCGGGCCACAATGGGGGATCATAGTTTTACAAATGAATACATGGGGAAAAATCTGCTGCTCAAGAACAGCAAAGCCATTTGTTATAGTGATATTAAAGCATCATTAGGTAGTTTAAAATTCAACCCCCCACCCCCACCCCCCGTAAACTTTTCAATACTGAACTGATTTTTGCTTATTATTCTAGCCAATGTGCTCAGGTGAGCGATGTGGCCCATGGGCCTCTTGTTTTAAATATTGTCTTAGTACAGATACACCAATGTTACAGGACAATGACATCGAAATAACATCTGAGTAATTTGTCTGACCTAAAGAATCGATCTATAAGAGATCATTCACTGTTTTACATTCATTTAAATGATACTAGTAAATTTACAATTATAGTAACTGTAATCCCCCTTCCCCCTTCCAATTTAACCTTATTTTTGCAGTAGTGTTATCATTGTTATTCGCTCTGACCATGAAAAATTGCAAACGTTATAATTTTATAATTACAATTCAAATAATTTGACATATGAAACTCCGGATTTTACATTTATATACAAAAGATCTCAATAAAAGTTGTAAAAGGGAGCAAAGAAGATCATTACCAATTGTAAATATACAAATGGTGATATATTTCTCATTCAGTGATGAATAATCTATATTTTATTAAAAAGGAATTAAGAGAAGAGAAAAGTTTGGCCTTTCAAAATATACTGGTAAGCAATTTATTATTAATTAATAGAACAAACTTAGTAGTAAAAATCCTCTTTTATCTTAGCAATTGATGACCAACACAAAGCATTCACAAGCGAAGTAAATGCTAAAGGGTGAATTAAAAAAAAATGACCACCAAACTGAATTTTTTTGGCAAAATTCAACTACTTGTAACATATTTTTCACTTATATCATCATATTGCAAATGCATTCTAGTTTAAAATCCTGAAGTGGCAATAGAATAGACAATTGGATTAAAAAGTTTCAGAATTTTTATTAGTAAAATTTCTTTTGAAAAAAGAAAATATCATTACACCTTAAAAGACTTTCTAAAATACAAAATCACAAGAAATTATAGTTTTTATGCTTCAAAATGGTAAAAGGGGTATAAATGATTAAATCTAGACCTTGAATGAGTATCTTTTCTTGTACATGTGACAAAAAATTGGCTTTTTGATTGTTATTTTACATTATTTTTTCAATTCTGGTTTGAAAAGTTTTAATATGAAAAAAATATGAAGCAATAAAATTTCCCAAAATTCACTTTTTTGTCCGTTCAAGTCAATTCTTTAAATCTAAGCCAAAAAAGAATTGTTATATACAAGTTCTCTTACAAAAAATACTAGATTTTGAAGTGACCCTATGTTACATTATTGTGTTGCACTCCTGACATCTGATATGTATTTTATTTAACATTGTTTTAAAAATTATAACACACAATAACCCATTCTTACTTTGTAAATCAATTTGTCATGTTGATATTTTTCATCGTTTACAGCAGGTTTTTCATATTTTGAAGACCTTAAAACATGATTATTTGCAAAGTATAACATACATAAATTGTATTTAAAAATATGTGAAATGATGAAAACTATTCCCTGAATTGACTGTAAAATTTCTGTAATTTGTTGATAGACGTAGTGTTTTGAACATCAAATAGTATCAAGCATTTTTTTCAACTTATTTTTTAGTAAAGATAGTTAAAAAGCATCGGTAATTATGAAGCAGTTTTGTTGCACTCCTGACTGCAGTAAAGTTTAAAATTAAAACCATAGAACACAAAAATTCACAAAGTGTTGGCAACATCAACTGGTAATGAAATTGTGCAATACTTATAGTCCAATACTTCATAATTAAAACAGATGAAAGTATTTAAAATTCACATTTTATCTGGAATTATACCTATTGTATGCCAAAAAACTAGCTTAAATGTATATTTAGAAGATAAAATATATTTTAAAGCATATTTTCCTTTATAAGAAAAACACAGTAACCCACCAGAAAAATTCTACTCATCATTTTTTCTTTATTTTTATTGTTATTGGATGATTTATAATTCTAACATATTTGTTGCACTCCTGACCAAAAGCATTGGGGCCTTTAAAGTAGAATTGTGAAGTGAAAATTACATAAGAACTTGTTCTGTTGTTTCAGTGAAGTTGAGGAGGAATTACTTGAATTTAATGACAATGTTTTAGTGTGTTTATTTTTAACGTTCATTAAAAAAATCACAAAAAAGATAAAAACACATCTGAATTGATAAAATTGAAAAAGAAGGATTTTAATAATAAAACTGTCAATAATTTAGCATTAAATTATACAAAAAGATCATTATTAATAAATGAATACTTCTAAGCATGAATAGAAATCTTTTCGTCAAACAACTTGAATCTTTAAAAAATGTGTTGCACTCCTGACCATAGAAATATGGATCTGAAGCACAGACAGATCCTGTAATTGATAAATCTATTTGGTAAAAATGTTCTTTGTGTCTTTATTTTCCAAAATAAAAATCAGAAAATCATATAATGATAATAGTTTTTTCATGCTTGGGAGCAAAACATCAAACTCCTGACATTTTTGGGTATGCACATATACTTGACTCTCATTAATGCTGCTTGTGATTTATATAACATTTTTAAGTTTTAAAATGTATATCAGTTATTATTTTACACTTCCAAAATTCTTTTTTGTCTTAATTTTCTATCAGAATTTTACAATTATTGTTTTCTTGGCAACACTATATTTTTTCTGTTGCACTCCTGACATGGTATAACATTTTTTTAAACATCAGTCATGACCACAACTTGATTAAACAAAAGTTATGACAGTCCACATATAAAGCTAAATACTTTGAATATTATCAGGAAAGTCTTTATTTTCAACATGAAGCATTATATTTTATTTCACAGATCTCCAAAAAATATTGAAATTTCAAAATGTCACAAAAAGGTGTTGCACTCCTGACAATTTTAGCATCATTTTTGGGCATAACTTTTATGTTAATTGAGATATCAACGAGATATTTGGCAGGTATTTAGACACTATCTAAAGACATATGCTGAGGTATAGAAATCTATTTTCATTGCCTGTATTTTTACTGTGGGTTGATAAATATGCATTTGGTCATTTTTTTTTAATTCACCCTAAAGGCAATATCCTACTAGTATATTAGTCCGTTAAAAAATATTGTTTTGCTTTAATTTGCTCTTGTATATTTAAATGTATAAATGTCAGAACCTGCAGAGAACACTATACTTTCCAGCAATAATTAAAATCACTTTAAAACATCAGCATGACATCATCTTTTGTTCTTTTAATACTTTCTATTTCTTGAAAGGCCCAAGACAGTCCAAAAAGTCACCTAACTGTCCAGTAAGTTTACAAATAT